GTGTCGGAAAATATGCAGTTTATTGAGTAAAACGTACATGCCGAACAAACAATTTGTTAAACCGTTCACCCACGACAGCCGTTAAAAGTGATCCAGACACACGACTTGTTTTCTCTGGCGGGTTGCTCTAAATTGTCGCATCTAATTTTGAATTTCGGGTATATTGGAGTACGATCCAAGACGAATACATTCCACAAAAAAGTTTTTTTATTGCTGCTTTCTAAACGTTAAATATTTAACATTATAAATGTCGCTCTTAGCGGGCGGACTGGCCGAGCGGGCTGTGCGCTGTCTCTGTCTCACCCGCTGCGTGCAGGGGGGGAGAGAGAGAGAGAGCGCTGGGCGGTGGAGGGGGGCGGCGGTCCGGAGCGGAGGCGGGAGCGCGCCCAGAGGGTCATACATCGTGCTAGTTTAGGCTTCATATCTCTGCAATGGTTCAAGTCCCCCGTGAAGTAAAAACACCCACATCAAGGTGACGAATGGGCGCACAACTTTGCAATGAACAATTTGTACGTTACTATTCTGCCATATTTGCTACGACCTGAGGAGCGCCAAGATACAATACCGGTACTAACAATTTTCTCAAATATTGTTTATTTTAGAATGGGTGTGGGTCATTTTTGTCTACAATAGGGGTATAGATTTGTTCCTCAGTTCTTCCCGGTCATTTTGATGCTATTTGCAGCTTCCTAGGTTGAACGGAACAGTTGATATCATCGATTTCGTACAATGGTGCACTTACGCCCTTTCGTGTTCAATACCGGGTGTTCCTCACCAGTCCCAAGGTGGGACTCGACGGATTCGTGATCTACACATCTTAATGCACAACTCCACAAAATTTCAGCTTACTATTTCAATTTTCCTAGGTTGGGTGTTTTTGGTAAGATCGGTCCTGGGCTACTGCCAAAGTGTGCGGTGTGCAACGTAGAGGAGCCAACAGGCAGTTCGGGGGTGCCGGGGCCGCCCGAACGTTCCCCTTTTCTGCCCGCAAGTGCGCCAGTCTAGGGATTAGCGCCAGCACCCGGCTGGGGTTTCCTGGGAAGGAGAAAACCAGACGACCACGGCGCTGTCCAGGTGAACCGAAAGCGTACTGGGGTCGCTCTGTTTGTTCCGGAGCAACCTGATAGCATACTCAGTTAGCTCTGTCCGCTCACGGAGCGACTCGATGACGGACATAGGTCACTCCGGAGCGAACCTCCGGTGAACCTTGGCGAAACGTCGCCCGGGAGCCTGACGAAGCTCAGCGACCCACCGAGCGCGACCCTCCGCGAACCGATAGCATACCGAAACCATACTAAAAGCAAACAAATCTTTTTGCGTCGGGTTCACCAGTGCCTGCACTTCTTTGCCTACAATCTTCATTCAAAACACTATCTAAGGACTTTAAAGGTATGCTCAGTTTCACTCAAGACACAAGTATTTAAAGTGAAAGATAACCTCACTCTACTCCCAGCCAGAAATGCACCCATGTTTATCAACGTCGACGTTTAATCAACGTAGAGTCGACTTTCAATTTCTGGCTGGGTACTCTGGGTGGACGAGGTTGCTTTGTGCTATTTGGAAATAACAGAGAGTGAGTTATGAAAATAGATGGCTATTCAGTGGAGGATATAAGAGTATAGGGCTTTTCGTAGTCGGACTTAAGTTGCTGTAGAGAGTGATGTTGTTCATTTAAGTTACTTCTAATGATAGATGTCATTTATCTACTTTGTAGTATTTTTCATTGACAACTTCTACTTGCAAATTTTTGGCAAGGGTATTGGTATTTCCAAACTTGTGGCGGTGTCTTTGTTATTGCCAACACAAAGGCTTTATGTCGGAAGCTACTTGCAAGTGTGTCTTACGGATAATCCTCTTACATTTCCGTATTTAGCGTTTGAAACATCATTTCCTTTTGTGAGGCGATGACTGCTTCCATTTATTGGCGGTGACTATTTGAACTTCCAGTTTATTGGCGATGTCAATTATGACTTCCAAGTGCTGGGCAATGACTATCTTATCGCCAACATCAAGGCTTAAAACTTTGAGTTGTCGCCCCATTTGTGGCAATGTACATCGCCTTTAAAATAACATACATGGGTGTACGAGTTAGTACGCAAGTGATTACCCCCTCGTCGGAAGCCCTTGGGAGGGGAGGCGTATCAGATAGGATCACATGAGGAAATATACTATGGTCAAGCAGGAATCTGGCCAGATACAGGCCCTTCCATCCCGGATTGGCTTTGAGTTCGGCTCTCGTTGGGAGGCTACATGTCGATGGGGCTGTGGTGGTAAGGCCACGGGAACACAAAATGAGACTATGAAAAGAGCATTGCATAACTAGTCGGTGTGCCCTGGTTGCAGACGGAACTTCATGGGTTTCACGCCTCTCATGATTGCAAGCAAAGATGGCAACGTACAATGCATGGAAGAACTACTTATGCTGCATAGGTAAGCATTATTTAAGAACAAGAGCTCTCATTTTTACCCGCGTACCCAGGTAACCCGATTACCCACCCGCCCCGGTAGGAACCAGGTAAACGGGTCTTACCGGGTAACACGGGTTAACCCGGGTAGACCCCAAGGAAACACGCCTGTAGGTGAGCAATTTTACAGACCGGGTCTACCCGGTCTACCAGGTAAGATCCGTTTACCCGGTTTCTAACCGGGTTACCCGGGTCCCCGGGTCCCCGGGGGATGGGGTTTTGAGAGCCCTATAAGTGCTAAGATTTTCTCAACGAAAAAACGCAAAAACAAAGACTCTGTTGTGGGGATCGGTTTTGTTTGGTAGGCTAAATTCGATAGCTGCACTGTAAAAAGCTTGCGAAGAACTATTCTTTGCATCGCAAAGTATTTTTAAGCGTTGTAAAATGCTTTGCATTGCGAACTAATTCTTCGCACCTTACGAAGAAAATCGTTCGTAACTCTGCAACGAATTAGTTCGTAACCTTGCAAACAATTTATTCGCAACTTACGAAGCAAATAGTTTGCAATGCAAAGGAAATAGTTTGCAATGCAAACTTCCTTGCAATGCTTGAAAATTCTTTTCAAGAATTTTGCAGTTTGGAATAAAAAAATCCGATACCCACAACCAGGAGTTGGTTGCCACCAGGGGTCCGTAACTGAACGTAACGTATAATAATATTTGTTATATAACGTAAAACAAAACGTTGGAAATTTCGCGTTAAAGTTAGAGGTTTTGACATGGTGATCTGAAATTCGTCGGACACAGATTACAATAAGCTCGTTTGCGTTCTAACATACGAACTTCCAATCTCTGAACTAGTTTCGCCCCCTCATGCAAACAAATCAGTAACTTATCGTCCCAGAGGTCGGTAAAACGTTACGGTTACGGTTTAAGTAATAACTGTAACAGTTAAGATAACGTGACGGAACACATGTGTTAAGTTATGGAGCCCTGGTTGCCACGAAGAGAACCAAGCTGAAGTTTGTTCTATGAGCACATTACCCCATTCGTCTGAACCATAACAAAGCAGACGCCTCTAGTCGCAAAAATATCTCAAACGCCCTTATTTTGATGTCCGGTAGTGGCAACCAACTCCTGGTTGTGGGTTTCGGATTCTCGATGCCAGCTGTCGAATTTAACCTACCAAACAAAATTGATCCTCACAACGAAGCCATTTTTTCCCCCGTGAATTACTATTGGCACTATTAAAACTCTGAATTTGTCTCAGCGATGACTCCACGAGAAGCAGAGTACAGGCAGCCGACCCATTTCTGATTCCACACTTCCCCCCGAACCTTTCTGGCTCCACCTCGCTGCACCTTGCCGCTCAGAATGGCCATGCTACCGCTGTCAAGTTGCTGCTGAGTGTTGCGCCGACTCTTGTTCACGTAGCTGATCGCTCTGGACTTACGCCTTTAGAGACTGCGTCAATCTGCATGCCGACTACCAAGGGTTGCCTGGAATGTTGCCAGGTAAATAAAATATTCACACTTGATGCCAGGTTTGGGTTTACCGAAGTTACGGAAAATTTGAACTCTTGGCTAAGAGTGGTAGAGTGAAGTGAAAATCTAGAGCCTAAAAATTACACCTGGATTATTGTACTTCATAGCGGCAGAGTCCATTTTGACCCATCCGTAGATTTCCAACCCCTACCAAAAGGTCAAATAAGTTAGGTCTTTGAGGAAAATTCACTCTTTTTACGTCATTTGGTCACCTGTAGGCATAATCCCAGAAACGGCTAAATGCGGTTCGGTGCAGAATGAATAAAGGAACATACAGCAGAAGCCGATAAGCTGTGTGACAACATCTTCAGCTCGCCCACGAGATATTTTAGGTGAAAAGCCGCAGGTTTTTAGCCCGCTCTTTTGCTTAAAAGCTATATAAGCGGGCTTATGCCATCGCCTCTGTGTCTGTCTGTCTGTCTGTCTGTCTGTCTGTCTGTCTGTCTGTCTGTCTGTCTGTCTGTCTGTCTGTCTGTCCGTCTGTCCGTTCCCCAAGAAGGACGTGAGCTAGAGGTCTGAAATTTTCAGGGTATTATTGTTGTCACTTCTGGACAACGAAACGATTGGTGCAAATCCTGGCAACCACCCCTGAGTGGGTCTGAGGGGGTAACAAAGAAACAGGGGTTGGTCCAAGAAGTGGAAAAAAAATATTTTTTTTATTGTCTCCTAAGGGGTAACTCGTGAAAGTAGAGCCCTTTGGGCTAAAATTTCGTCCGTTTGGCTCTCTCTCTCACCGTTTAGGCGCTAGAGGGAGTTTTTTTT